GGAATGCCGCAGAGCAGCGAGAGCCCGGCGCTGGGACTGGGACTGGCCGGCCGGCCGGCGGGAGTCCTCCTCCCTTCTTCCCCGTGCGCCGCCTGGAAGCCTCGCTTTGCACGCCTTCGTCCCTCCTCCTCTCCCCCTTTACGCGTCAGCCTGACCCGCAAACTTTCTCCGCGGCTCGTGATGCTCCTGCTGCTGCTGCTGCTGCCGGCCTGATATTGGCGGCGGCGGCGGCGGCAGCGAGGGGGGGGGTCAGCGCAGAGTGGCACAAACGGGGAACTGTGGACGGGGGTGGTGTCCTTATGGCCTCCTAATAGGTAAAGGTTCCCTTGCTCGAAAGCCAGTCGAATCGGACTCTAGGGTTGCCATGTTTCCAAGCCGAAGAGCCAGCGCTGTCCGAAGACGTTTCTGTGGTCATGTGGCCGGCATGACTAAACACCAAGGTGCACAGAACGCTGTGGCACCTATTTATCTACTTGCAGTTTCTTGCTTTCCAACGGCTAGATTGGCAGGAGCTGGAACTAGAGAAGGGAGCTCTGGATCTCGAACTGCTGAACTACTGACCTTCCACAGGCTGCAGTTCAGCGTCTTAACCACTTGAGCCATCGCAGCTCCTTCTAGTACTAGGACACCATTTGCCAGCAACACTCTGGGTTTCCGGAAGCTGGAATACCTCCCAACAACCCTGTGAGGTGGGCTGCTACCATCCCCATTTTAATGAGAGGGACCCTGGAGCTGAGATAAAGGTGACCACTGACCATCCAAGTGGATCCTTGGTCCTTTCCGCACTAGACCTTAAATTTATTTATTCATTTATTCCTTAGATTTCTCTCCCGCCCTCCCACCAAAGCGGCTCAGGGCGGCTTACAACAATTATAAAACCAGCATAAATACATACATAAAACACAACTCAGTAAAATAGCTCAGCTCATTTCCAATTAAATAAATACAATTAAAACCATTTAAGTGTGGCGCAGTGTGCAAGTGCAGCACAGCCCATATAAGGTCTTTCCTACTGAGACACCCGGCGAAAAAGCTCTGCAAAATTGCTGGAGGTCTTGGTTCAGTCCTGTCCCTGAACTCACATTCTACACTACACTGGAGTTCACCCCTGTAATTATCTCAGGGGGGTTTTTTGTTTCCACATTACACTGATGTCCCCCCCAGTTTTGCCCCACACTTGTCCCGGGATAAACGGATGCTGTTATGACCAGGGATAAATGCAAAGCATTGCATCCTGAGTTGAACTCTGATAAAACCAGGGATGAGATCCAAGTACGGAAGGGACCCTTGGTCTGAACCATAGCCCCGGCAGGAAAGGATGGAGACATTTACTTAAACTACAAGGAGAGGCAGCTGTATTAAGCAGTGAGGGGGAAAGCCTCCTAAGAGCTTCCCAAGGGAAATGTGGAGAGATTCTTGGCACCTGCCCCCAAGAAGCTTGCACTCTGCGTCTCAGCAGTGGGATGGAGGGAGAAAATAGAGGGAAAGGAGAGGCCAGGATCCCAAGGCCAGGAGTGTGGATACGATGTTATTGTTGTGTGCTCTTGGGTTTCATTTCAACAGTGGATGGGGTTAAGGCTCAGTGGTAAAGCATCTGCTTTGCCTGTGCAGAAGGCAGCTGTATTAAGCAGTGAGGGGGAAAGCCTCCTAAGAGCTTCCCAAGGGAAATGTGGAGAGATTCTTGGCACCTGCCCCCAAGAAGCTTGCACTCTGCGTCTCAGCAGTGGGATGGAGGGAGAAAATAGAGGGAAAGGAGAGGCCAGGATCCCAAGGCCAGGAGTGTGGATACGATGTTATTGTTGTGTGCTCTTGGGTTTCATTTCAACAGCTGGTGGGGTTAAGGCTCAGTGGTAAAGCATCTGCTTTGCCTGTGCAGAAGGCCCCAGGTTCAGTCGCCAGAACCCTGAGTTAAAAAGATCAGGAAATAGGCGAGACAAGTGATTTTGTCCTGAGACCCCGGAGAGCCACTACTAGTCCTATTGGACAATGCTGACCTCAACAGACCCATGTCTGACTCAGTCTCGAAGTCTTCTTCCTGTGTTTGTGTTCCTGAGGACTGAGACGTTCATCTGGTTTTCAAGCATTCCCATGATCTGCTGTGATATGTGTACTTTTCTTAAAGAACTGACAGGCATCTGTCAGGCAACAATGACTGTTAAGATGGCTGAGAGATGACAGATTTCTGGTTACGCAAACTTTGATGAGCAAGAGCCCACTTCAGAAGTACATCTGCTAGTCTTGAAGCTCTTGTGGGTAAAGCTGCAAAAGCCTGGGGAGGGGGAGAGAGAAAAACCTGGGTGGCGGATGGTCACACACGCCACTGGGTGTAGACTTTCCAATTTCCCGGGGGGGGGGGCTGGGGCTGGGCTAGAGGCATTGCTTTGCTAGGAGCAAGGGTGGCTCCCGGGGGAGGCTGAGCACCTTCCTGAAAATTTCAGCGGGGGCTGATGCCCCGCCGCCCCCACGAAGATTACGCATAAGCCGGGGGGGGAGGGAAGCGAGGCTGTTTGCTCTGTAGGAATTTGACCCACAGTTGTGTGATCACACAGTACTTGGAAACTGCGAGCACAGCCCGCCACTGTGCGATCAGACGCAACCGCGGTTTATTTTTGCCGTGTCTTTCCGGTGCGCTTCAACAAGAGATCGATGATTCACATTTCCACACTGAGGGCTCCCTATGCAGTGTGCGATGATGCACATACTGAGACGGGGTGGGGGAAACGGCACGGAGTCGGGATGGCCTGATCAGACCACCCCGACGCCATGGGAGCACGCTGGAGTGACCACACAGGGGAAAGTCCACCCGTGGCCCGTAGCAACCCATTTGCTACCGGACTTTCCGTTGTGTTTATTCACTCCATTTCTGCGGCGGAGCAAAACGGGTGCGGGGCGCTTCCCAGATGTTTGTGTCTGATCGTGCCCTTTAAATCCGCCCGGCATTTGTGCCTATAACGCAGCTAATTGTGCATGTGATTGCGACCCCGGTGTCTTTTCTGAGTCTCCTCCCCATTTTATTTCAATGGAAAATTGGAAATTTGAGGGGATGTAGGGGAAAAAACCCTACAATAGTGTTTTCTCTCTCTCTCTCGAGGGCAAGTGAAATTTTGTTAAAGACAAGGTTTTACTAATTAAAAAGCATATTATAAAGATTTTGTATGTAAAACAGTCTGCAGCCTTAGAAAATGAATGATTGTTTCTGTATATACTGTAGATAAAATAAGTATATCCTTAAAAAATATTTTGTATATTTATATATGACTGATTTTGTCCACAATTATTTGCTGCAATGTGTATGATGATGATAATACACTTTTGAATCCAATGTTATGAAGTTTAATGATCACCAGGTACATTACTAGTCATATTGCGATTGTATGCACCTGTTTCTGTCCAAATAAAAAAATGCAATTTCTTTTGCTTACTACAAAATTTGTGTTATCTATTTCTATAAATGTTTATTTTTTTCCTAATTCCTCAATGACAGAGATACATGTGATAGGGCAGTGTGCTATCTCTCTGCAATATTGGTTATGTTAATAGTTTTGCTTATAGAAAAATAAGGTATTTACACGTGAAGCTGCAGTATACTGAATATATACTGAATCAGATGTGTGGTCCATCAAAGTCAGTATCAACTATTCGGGCGAGCACTGTGTCTCCAAGGTCTCAGGCAGAGGCCTTTCACATCTCCTACTACCTAATCTGTTTAACTTGAGATGCCAGGGATTGAACCTGGGACTTTCCGCATTTCAAGCAGATGGCCATATTTTTAAATTTTATAAATACACCAATATTACAATTGTTTATACTGTGATATACAATTATGCATATTATGTTAAAGCAGTAAAGTAAGCTTGATAAGAATGTAAGTATTGCATAAATTTCAATTCCCCCCAAACTTCCGTCCCCCCAAGAACTGATTCCCCTCCTTCCCCCCCCCCTGAATTTTTCACCTCTGCCTATGAGACTCATTATTGCTACAGACCAGTATCACGATTTCTTTGTAAGGTGTCATGGTAGGTGTCTTGTCATGACTAGCCTTCAGCTTTTCAGCCTAAATCGATAGGTTGTACCAGGAATGTTGTCCTCATTTCCCTGTTGTCTTTTTTAAAAAAAATGGCAGGGTTTTTTTTAGGGGAAAAGAAGAGAGAATAAGAAAATGAAGGTTTTGATTAAAGATGGTCCCAGGTCTAGAAAGGTTCTGTTAGGCAAACCAACCTAAGAAGCCCCTCATGTTCTGGTGGCTCAGGGTTATTACAACATGCTGGGAGAGTATTAGCTCTCAAGCTGTTCTAGGCCATAGTTCTGAGGAAACGGGTCATCTGCGATCCAAAAAGAATTAAATGACTGTTTGATTATGTTACCATTTTTGCCTGATGGCATTCTCATACATATTAATGCTTTAAACGCCATTGTGGAATACTGTCAGACTAGGGCTGTGGAGACTGCAGTTCAAATCCTCACTCAGCTATCCTCACCTTTGGGGTAGTCATTTTCTCTCAGTTTAACTGACCTCACAGGTTTGTTGAGAGGATTAAGTGAAGGCGAAGGAGAACAGGAGAACCATGTAGACATCCAAGACTTATCTGAATAGGAAAGAAATTGCTTGCATCAGGTTTGCTATCAAAAAAAAAATCAGCAGTAGTGTTTGGACAAGATCTTAGGTAAAAAGAGGACTCAGAACCATAAGGTGGTGGGCTTAACTGTTAACTCACCATGCCTCTGAAGTTACTGGAACACTTGAGGTGACTACTACCTCTGTCTTCTTGTTTTTTTTAAAAAATTATTTATTAGATTTTCTTGTTTATACGATACATACAAATCCACATTTCAAATACAGTTTGAGTCTATTAAGTTCTCTTTTTTCCTATCCATTCATATATTCTCAACCATTTC